ACTTGGCTCATCTGTTCAGTATGGGATACATCTGGAGTGCAATCGAACATTATCGTATAGTATTTGGCTTCTTTGATGTCATGTAAAATGCTATTTCTAACTGTTTTTGCCATTATTTCAATTATTTCATTCTGTATTGTCTTTGATAAATATGATACCTGTCCCTTTTTTAAATTTTCTAATTGAAACTTAAGAGTTGAATTATGTTTCGCGAGCAGGGATATTAAGTTTAAAAAGTTACCTTGACTGGGCTGAGGATATTGCGTGATAAGGTCGCTAGGAGTTTCGTGGGATCCACGAAAAGCGAGGCAGTTTGTGGATAAATACAATACAGCATCCATAACAATTCGCAGAATCTCTCTCCATTTTTCTTTTTCTGAGTTAACTACTCTCTCAAGGTCTTGATCAATACCCTGGCATGATTTCATTTGCTGTAACCGTGTTTTCCACTTGATCATACACTCTTTGTGCATTTGGGTTGCCTCGTGCTCAGCTAATCTCTCTGAGACTTTTTTCCAATTAATAAACCCTGTAGAACACAATGCAGATAGGGCGGTAGTAGATACTGTCTGATAAATTTTACAGCACGCACAAAAAATTGCATTTTTTGTCTTAGAAAATAAAAGCCAAGATCTTTTAACCCTTTCGCAATTAGCCAACGTCCTGTACCACATAGAAGATGTTAAACGTCTGCCATTGCGTTCAGTATATCTAAATTCAATGTTTTCGGGGTGACTTTCTGCCAATAATACAGCCTGATTGCTAAAGAAAGATCGTTGTTGATCAGTCATTTTTTCCACCGCTGGCCAATTGCCTGGGTCCGTCAAATCAAATCCGGGTTTTTGCAGTTCATCCAATTCCGAGTCTAGGGATTTAGATCCTTCGTTCTCTGGCTTCGTCTTTTCATATTGCTCAGGTTGCTCTTCGAACACCGATAAAGATGGTGAAGTTGGCATTGTGCTATCTTGATCCATTTGATCGGGTAAAGAGCCAGAAACATCCTCTAACTCAATATCAACTTCGGAAGTTGCAGCAGATCCTCCCGGGTCACACCCTCTGCGAAGCCAATTTTTCATATTATCTGCACATTGTTTTCCCTGCAACACCTTATATTTAGCCTTTTTCCTATATTCTGCTCCTGATAGTTTTTTTCTTGGTGCACTCATAATTACAACCTGTAAACAAATTAAGTACCTAATTAATTTCCTTATTGAAAACATTTTAATCTAATCAATATTTTTAGTAGGTAAGTAAACTAGCTGCCCCGGCAAAATTGGTACCGGCTAAAAGTCAAATCGTAATTTTTTATTTTTATATTTTTCTCTTCGTAAGAACAATCTTCGTACTTCAAGAAATATTCTAAACTAGCTACTTCCGCGCGGTTTCTTACGCTCTGCTCAGCTCCTATTGGTCGCAGCGTGATGTTTTATAGCCTATAGCTATCCTCGATAAATGCACTATCCAACACAAAAATAATTAGGTATTCAAATGACTTGTAGTTACGGAGATTAGCGCGTTCAAACAAACAAACAAAAAAACAAACTCTTCCGCTTTATATAATAGTATAAGATTATAATTATAATAGTATAAGATAAGATAAGAAGTATAAGATAAAGAATTAGCGAAATCGGTTCAAACGTTCTCGAGTTTTGTGCTTTAGTAACACATTCACCGACTCATTTTTATATTAGGTACCTATTATAGATAAATCAACCAGACAAGATCATTGCATATTGCATGAAACAAATAATGAAATCAACTCAACGCAATGTAGATTCTACGATATGACTACATTTTCAATAATGCTATAATTTAAGAGCAGGGAGTAAAGTACGTAAATTATATTGATGCGTGCTTGGAAGTGCGTGGCAACCGCCTGAGCTGTAGGTATCAACGCGCCGTTGTCGTCGACGGCGTAGGTAACGCAAAACAAGTAAACGCGCAAATAGTAATAATAATTATTATTTAATAAAGTTTTTTAACTGTAATATATAACTGTAATAACTGCCAATAAAAACCTTTTAAAAAATATTCGTCCGCCCACGTCTCGGTCAATTTTCGTCGCGCGGCTTCGGTTTTTAATGTTCGTAAGTGATTGCACGTATTACATCTGATTTAAAAAATACATATAGATAGGTAGGTAGGTAGGTACTTTAAAAAAACAATAATAGTTATGATAAAAAACTTACCTAAAATCGATCCTGTGATAAATTTGTTGATGCGTCGCGTCTTCTTCTTCACTAATACCTCTACAATCAGTATTTTACTTTCGGTAGATCGACAAGTACTAAATAGTAAACATAAACAACGAACTCACATTTTTGAAACAAAACTCTGTCGTGAAGAGAGATCGACGAGGAAGTTTTCGAATATAGCTTTATCTCTTTCGCACTCACGGTAACCAGATGCGTGCTGCCCCGCTCTGCGATTCCTGGTGGCGAGCGGGAGCCGGGCGCGTATTTTGAACTATGCCTACGCGCCTCGCGATTAATAAATGTTCGTGCAGTCATGCAGCATGTCTCACTCTGCGCTCAGGATATCGATCAAGTTGATATGGCCATGGGATTGCTGCACTTGTGCTATTATAAATTCCGTGGTCAAAGTTAAATAAATGATGAGTTGTCCATTGGTCTGTGAAGTGTGAATTTGGCCGTTCCCTGATTTTGCCGCCCCCTGAATTGGCCGCCCGGGGCATAGGCCCCGGCTTGCCCCCCCCTAGATCCGGGGCTGGGGTGTGGTTGTTATGCCATCTTACAAGGACTATTGGAAGGCCAGTTATCGTTACGGTAAAATTGCAGGTGTCATGCCAATCAAAAGGTTTCAGCAAATAAGGCGGTACTTACATTTTGCTGATAACACCCACGCTGACGAATCCGATCGTTACTACAAACTACGTTCCTCTCCTTGAGCGAGTAAGAGCCCAACGTTTGTCTATTGAAGAGAAGAATGCCTTCAGTGTAGATGAAATGATCATTCCTTACAAAGGCAAAAAAGCGGGTTCTCGACGGTAGTATAACCCAAACAAACCATGCAAATGGGGCTTTAAAAGTTTGGTACGAGCAGGTGTCTCTGCACTCGTATACGATTTTATGTTGTATGGAGGCGACGATACCTTTAGGGGTATCCAGTTCGAATTTGATGAGGAAAACTCGGCACTGGAGCTAAAACGGTGTTGGCACTATGTAAAACCATAAAAAATCGACCTTGTGTCGTTTTCTTCGACAATTGGTTTACGTCTCTCGAACTTATATATTTGTTGAGGCATTATTATGGCATATTTAGTTTAGGCACTGCCAGAAAAAATAGGCTTCGAGATGCCAATGATTTATTGTTGTCAGACAAAGCTTTAAAGAAAAAAGGACGGGGGGCTTATTGTCAGGCAACTTGCAATAAAAATAAAATTGCTATCGTAAAGTGGTTTGACAATAAGCCCGTTACCTTGGTTAGCTCATATGTCGATGCTTATCCCACCGAAAAAGTGAAGGGAAGCAAAAGGACGCGTAGACGTACCTTGCCCACAAATAGTGAGACACTACAATAGGCACATGGGTGGAGTTGATCTAGCTGACATGCTTATTGCTTTATATCGGACCAACATGAAGACACATCGTTGGTATTTGAATATATTTTCGCAATTGTTGGATATTTGTATCAACAACGGTTGGCTTCTTCGCCGCCGCCATTACCGATCAAGAAACATGAAAAAAAAGAAGATCTTTTAAAATAAGAGGGTCTTATAAAAAGCAACAGAAAAATGGCGAAAACTTCAGTCCAGGATTCAGTGGCTGCCAAGATTCGTTGAAGACTTTCTTAGAAATGTCGGTGCGCACTTTAACCGCAGCACACTCCGACAAGAAAAACTAAAAGAATTGCAGTTATTTTTCAATGTGGAAGTCCATAAAATATTGAGCCCATCGGTCACAAGATGGTTATCATTAGAGGCTTGTGTAAACAGCAGGGTACTCGAACAGTACGATATTCTGTCCGAATATTTTAGACTTGAATTGTTAGAAGACCCTAGCAAAATTAGGGAAGATATAATTGGGGTACTCGACAATAAATTAACAAAAATTTACTTAGAGTTCATGTCGTTTACATTGGGACAATTTAATGACTTTAACAGATTGTTTTAAACAGAAAAACCATTGCTCCACCGACTAAAACCGGATACACATAAACTTATAAAAACCATAGCCAGCAATTACATGAACTTCAGTTATTGCAAAACAACCGATGCGTATAAAATAGAATACGCTAACCCAAGATTTTTTGTGCCTCTTGATAAAATATATTTAGGTATAGCTGCACAGTCGTCCATTGATGAACTTTCAAAAGACCAGAAATACCACATAGCCCAGTCATATTAGGTAAAAAAAGGGGTCAACCTCGGAATGAGAGATAATAAGCTATAAATTGGTATAAACCTTTGTTTTGTCGTGCTAAATGTTGTCTCAAAAGTCACAAATGATACCGTGTCCGCGTCTTAAGATATTGAAGGTCAAAGGTCATAAAAATTGGTTTTTTGTGAATATCTCGCTTTCTATTGCTTAAATGATATTTTTACCTATAATAAAAGTTGTAGAGTATAAAATTCTCTACAATTTTCGTTTTATGTTTTTTTTGATACGATCAACCGTTTTTGAGGTAGAGCGCGAAGAGTGCGCAGCGCACAGTCATATATGGTCCAATGCAAGGTCAAGCGTGAGTTACGGTTATCAGTACGTTATATAAAGTCTATTATTTATTAAATTATTATAATTATTAAACAATGCCCATTATTTATGTACTAATTATTAATTGTTGATATTTTATTAAAATCAGTAACTTAATTATTTATATTTAACTATTCAACTATAGTATATTATTAATTCTGGAATATATATTTTTAGTTAAAACGTCATTACATACGTTTTCTTCAAAACGTGTAAATTTTTTAATACTTATATACCTGAATATACTTGTCCCTACCCTACGACCTTTTCTATTTATAGCCGGGACAGATGTTCTATTGTATTCAAGGCCACTTTCTCTTTTCAGGGACCACTTTGTATTCGTCAAGATTATTCGTTAGTTTGAAATTGTATCTTCGCAACGACGGACGTACGGTTTTAAGAGCTATGGCTGATTTGTGTTTTATATGTGATAAGTCACTTTCAGAAGGTGTTTCTGTGAATGTTGTACGTGGTTTACATACTTTAAAAACTGCAAGTATTGAAAGAAATGATGGACATATAGACTATTTAAATACTTTAAGTTCTGTGAATGTGCATTCCGAGTGTCGAAAAGTGTACACTAGTAAAAATGCTATTGTTGCATCGAAACGACGCACAGAAGAGGGTGAACCTTCAACGCCAAGTGCACCTCGTAAAAAAAGAAACGAAGTGTTTGATTTTAAAAAATTGTGCTTATTTTGTGGCCAAGAAGCTAATGAAGTAGCGGAAAGGAAAAAAAAGGAGAAGTATAGACGGACAATAAGTAATGTAAGCACTCTAGCGTTTAAAGAGAACGTAATTAAAAAAGCAGAAGAACGCAACGATTCCTTAGGAGAATTAGTAAAGGAACGTATACTTTACGAGTATGATTTGATCGCTGCTGAAGCAAAGTATCATACTATTTGCTATACCAACTTTTTAACTCGAGTACCATCTGCTGATAAGAAGCCGCGCCAAGATGATCAAGTCACTCAAGCAATGAAGGAGATTTTTTTTTATATAGAAAATAATGAAGATTCTCAATTTACGTTGAAAGAACTTAAAGATGTCCTTACGGAGTACATACCCGACGATAAGACGATTATTACAAAACTACAACAAAAGTATTTAACTGACATAATAATTACAAAAAAAATAGGAGCATTTACAATTATATCTTTCCGTGATACACAGGTTAATGTACTATCAAAAGCTTGGTACGAAAATAAAAAAAGCACCCCTGCAGAAGAACGTTTACGTATTGTAGAAGCTGCTGCGGCAATTATTAGGGAAGATATTAGATCATCTGTAGTCGACACTAAGACGTATCCACCTCCAAATAAAATGCTAGATGGTATTAATGAAGAAATACCAAAAACATTATTACATTTTTTAGAAGAAATTATATTAAAGAATAGAAAAGGACAAGTAGATCATTTAAAAACGAAATGCACATCTATCAGTCACGCAATAATGGCTTCGATACGAGAACGATCATTTTCATCACAGCTACTATTAGGCCTTTCTGTATTTCTTCACAGAAGATATGGATCTAAGAAATTATTGGATGTTTTATCAACTTTGGGATTTGCTGCTCCATATAGTAGTGCTGTACAGTATGAAGTTTCAGCAGTTTACCATCCACAGCCTCGTATTTTACCATCAGAGTCAGGTGCATTGGTGCAATATGTTGGAGACAATGCAGATATTAATGTCAGTACTCTTGACGGTAATAATACTCTTCACGTTATGGGAATGATAAAAATAGTTACTCCGAAAGATGCTGTAATTTATGATGATCGTATAAAAAAATGTACAACTAAACCAAGTGCAAAAGAGTTGGCAGCAATATCACATGTATCTCTTTTAGCATATGAAAAGCCAGTTGTACCAGGGTACAGCAAGATTCAAGTCCAAAATCTACATGACGATCAAGTACTAATTGAAAAAAAATTTAATGCTGTTGATTTTTTGTGGTTATACGGAAAATGGAAGAATCTTTCACAGTTGCCAGGGTGGAATGGCTATCTTCAACAACTTACGAAAAATAATAAGAATTTTTCAACTTCTCAAGTTATATTTCTACCTTTCATTGATCATCCGGCTAGTCATTTAGATACAATTTATACCACTTTACATTGTGCTATAAATATTGCCAAGTCACATCAACAAAAGACGTGCATAATTACATTTGATCAACCTCTGTACTCCAAAGCACGTGAAATGATTGCCGCGTCAGATGCAAACTCAGACTTGTCTAAAACAGTTGTCAAACTAGGAGGATTTCATATGCTTATGTCTTTTCTTGGATGCATAGGATATATAATGGACGGTAGTGGTCTTAAGGAAGCTTTAAGTACAATATATGCTACAAATTCGGTCGACAAAATGTTGAATGGTCACGCTTATGCAAGAAGTATCAGAGGCCATACATTATTACGACTTGCATTATCAATGAAGATTTTTGAAGAGATGAAGATTGAAGGTTGTATTTTAGATGAGTTAATTGAACAGATAACTAGTCGCGATGTTTCCTACGAAGATGTTGAAGGATGTACAAGTAGCTCCAACTCGTTAATTGATCAATTTCAGGATAAACTGAATGAATTAAAAGCTCGAGGTCCCACAGCACAGTTATGGGCGCAGTATTTTGAAATGGTATCAATAGCTCTAGATTTCATTCGTGCTGAAAGACTGGGACTTTTTAAAGAACATCTGAATGCAGTGCGAAAAATGTTGCCGTATTTTCATGCTGGTGGTCATTTCCTATATGCGAAATCAGCTCATTTATATCTTCAAGATATGATAAAACTGGAGGAGACAATGGATGAACAGAGTTTTCAGAACTTTAAAAACGGATTCTTTACTGTAAAACGAACAGAAAAATTTAATTCTGGTACATGGACAGACATGGTAATCGAGCAAAGTCTTATGAAATCTATGAAGACAGAAGGAGGAGTATCTCGAGGCCGAAGTACACAAGAAAGTGTTCTATGTAAGTGGTTATATGCTATGTATGCCACGAATACAATTTGTGAAGAAATTGAACGGTTTTGTAACATTTCTTTGGATTCTGTAGACCAACATGTTGATGCTAGAGATTCACGAATAAAAAGGGATAATACTGATGTTAATAAACTGGTTGATTGGTATACTCTTCATAATCCCTTTCCAAATACGAATCAGTTGGTATCCTTAGCTTCAGGAATCGTTGGAAATGACCAAATTAATTGTCACAGAGCCCATGAACTCGGATTGCAATCTATGGAAAAGATAATTGGTTTGAACTTTAATGAGATAAAGTTAAAACGCGTCGATAAGGTTTTGCCGCTTTCAGCCGTTAACAAATCTGTCAATATTAATGATTGTAAAGTCTCTGTAGATCCGTTGTTACTTTTCCAGAGAATAACTGTAAGCAAAAAATTTGAAAATAATCTACAAGAATATCTTCAATATGAACTAAGCCCGTATCCGACATCTTTATTTGATAGTAATGGCATGAGAAAAACCACGAAAGCGACGTTATATGACAATATGCTACCTGTCGATATCGAGCTTGATGAAAATAATGTAACATACATCATCGACGGTGGATTTCTTCTGCATCGCGTCGTATGGAGCAAAGACGATACTTTCTCCATTATTTTAGATAAATACATTCAATATTTACAAACACATTATGGTTCAGAAATTGTTGTTGTATTTGACGGATATTCGGACAATAGTAAAAATATTAAAGCAATGGAACAACAAAGAAGAACTGCTGCACTTTCTAAATCGTATGAAGTTTGTTTTGACGAAACAATGATTGTGCCAATCAGCCAAGAAAAATTTTTATCAAATCGGTCTAATAAAACAAAATTTATCTACATGCTTGTCGAAAAATTAAAAACTATTAATATCACAACAAAACAAGCCAGAGATGATGCTGATGTTCTCATCATCGAGACAGCTATTGCATTATCAGAACATCAAAAGACTGCCGTCATCATAGGAGAAGATATTGATTTGCTCGTTATTTTAATTGGGCGTACTCAATCACATCAACAGGAAATTTTCTTTAAAAAAGTTGGGAAAGGCAATGTTAAGACGAAAATATATTCTTCCAAAAGTTTTGATCAATATCCGCGTACTAAAAAACACATTCTATTTTTACACGCATTTAGTGGCTGTGACACGACTTCTGCGCTATTTAAAAAAGGAAAAAAAACTGTTACTAGAGCATTGGAGAAAATTCCCAATTTGGATAAACTGGTGGAAGTATTTCAACAAGAAAACTGCCCGGTACAAACATTATTTGAAAATGGAGTGCGCATCTTGTTGGCATTATATAATGCTCCAAAATCTGAGGACAACATTGATCATTTTCGCTACACGCAATTCATTAAATTAACGAAACTAAATAAACCTGTACAATTGTCAACACTTCCACCAACAAGTGTAGCAGCTCATCAACATATAAATCGCGTCTACTACCAGATTCAAACGTGGTTAGGGAATGACTTAGAACCTCAAGAATGGGGCTGGATGCTTGAAAATGGAATCCTGGAGCCCATAAGAACGTTATTACCTCCAGCACCAACCGAACTACTAAATATAATATTTTGCAATTGCAAAAATGGTTGTGGTTCCCGCTGTGGATGCCGAAAATCAGGGCTACTATGTTCTTTAGCTTGTGGCCAGTGCAATGGACAAGCTTGCCTGAACGCTGCACAATATCCAAGTAATCCCGATGAAGAAAACGCATACGATCCTGAAATTCTGGAGGGTTTGGAGATGAATATGACCGATAATGAGGATGATGATAATGAATTGAACGTTTTCGAGCGACAACAAGAAGAAGACGACGAAGAAGATGAAGATAACTAGCTTCTATTCACAATTTTATTATAATTAAAACCAATAAAAATTCTTATAATATTTAAACTGACATTTCAACAAATGTATAGTATGGCATATTTAATGATAAATAAAGATATGCATAAAATAGATCCCCTTATTGTCTTTTTAACTGAAAATATATATTCCAGAATTAATAATATACTATAGTTGAATAGTTAAATATAAATAATTAAGTTACTGATTTTAATAAAATATCAACAATTAATAATTAGTACATAAATAATGGGCATTGTTTAATAATTATAATAATTTAATAAATAATAGACTTTATATAACGTACTGATAACCGTAACTCACGCTTGACCTTGCATTGGACCATATATGACTGTGCGCTGCGCACTCTTCGCGCTCTACCTCAAAAACGGTTGATCGTATCAAAAAAAACATAAAACGAAAATTGTAGAGAATTTTATACTCTACAACTTTTATTATAGGTAAAAATATCATTTAAGCAATAGAAAGCGAGATATTCACAAAAAACCAATTTTTATGACCTTTGACCTTCAATATCTTAAGACACGGACACGGTATCATTTGTGACTTTTGAGACAACATTTAGCACGACAAAACAAAGGTTTATACCAATTTATAGCTTATTATCTTTCATTCCGAGGTGAAACCCCTAAAATGACTGGGCTAACAACCAAAAACGGTAATAACGGATTTCAAGAGAACTTGTCTCAATTTTTATATTGAAGCCATAAAACAGATAGTACAACGTTTCGATTTTTCTGACCCGTTATACGGTATTTTAGATGTGATTGAACCAAGCTTTACTCAAAAATTTGAAGTGAAGGATTTGTCAAATGTTTTGAAGAGATTCCCAAGTGTTAAAGAGGATGTAAATGAAATGGAGCTTCAAAAAGAATGGAAAAAACATGCTTTCCTGGACCACAAGGATTTAGGTTTGAGTCAAAATCTGGAAGTGGAAGAATATTGGAAACAAATTTTAAAGCTAAAGGATATAGCCGGTACTGAAATATTCCCAAATTTAAAAAAGATTGTAGGGCTTTTGCTTGTTTTGCCTTTTTCCAATGCTTGCGTGGAAAGAATTTTCAGCCAGCTTAAATTAATAAAATGCGAAAACCGGAATAGACTGAGCACTGAAACTATTTCTTCTTTGATGGCAACAAAAGCCAACATACAAAACGCCACAAAATTTGAGCCTTCTAAAAGCATGATGCATGCAAAAGTAGCATACAGCGAGACTGGTGAAGGTATTAACAGTTATTTAACTAATTTACACAAAATTTAATATCAAAAAATTTAAGCAATTTTTTTTTATTTCTGCAATACTAAAATAAACGCTTTTTTCAGGTTCCACCAGTTCCAATTAGCTTTCTTTGAAATATTTAGTCATTTTAAGCTAAAATGAATTATTATCTCTCTATTGCTATGTATGTGAATCACAGGCACGACGAAGATTTAAATCAGGTTAGTATTAAAAGGCATTCTTAAAATGGTTGGTTGATATATTTAATTTCATCAATTAAACACACGTTTTTGACTTTATTTATTTTTCTAGCATCACCAGTCGATTATTCGAACAAAAAACAATTATTAGGTACGAAAATACAAATCATGTATTCATCGATGACAAAGCAGGTTGGTATTGTACGACATTCCTAAAGTATAAATAACTATATATATTATGTAGATACAAACAACTGACTATTACATTTTTATTTTCAGCATCGTCAGTCGATTTTTCAATCAACAATAATATTACGAATTGTTAAGTTTAATAAAGGGGCGGAATCTTTTTATAGTTTTTTTTTAAAACATTCGTTGATTACAAAGCAGGTTGGTATTGTACGATATTCATAAATTGCTCTGTACTTTACATGGGTATAAATACCTAACAAATTTTTACCTTTTTTCTTTTCAGCGTCAACAGTCGATTATGCGATCAACAACTCAATTATTACAAATTATAACTTTTAATAAAATAGTCAAGGATGTATTTTATTTTCATTTAAATTAAATGTCATTATTCCACAAAAAAGGCAGTGTATTTTATTTTCATAAAAAAATACCATTATTTACGTATTTTGCCAGTTTCCACAAAAAAAAAGACAATGTTATTTTTTCTGACAAAATGTTACTTTTTGATCAGTCTTGTGTAACTTTTGACTATCGGCCACTGGCAACACTGCCGTATAGTTTATTAGTTTTGTAGTAAGCGTTGTGTCAAGCGAACAACAACATTGGATTTGGATTGCGATTTTTAACAATAAAAACGCTCCCAACAAAATTGTTTTGTGCTGTGAGTGTCAAGTGGTGCATATTCAATATGTCTGTTGTTCAATAATTCAGTGTGGGGCAAGGAAAAACCCCAATCAACCTCATTTGACTATGCACAGGTTAGTAGCAGTATTTTAAGAAAAAAATTATCATACTTTTAGTTTTCTTGTTTATCTAGCCTTATTCTTGTTTTATATATAGAATAAAAGCCCCTAAACGTACATTCAATTTGTTTCTGATAACTAACTTCATTTGCTAAATTTGTTTTATGTTTTGTTTACAATACAAATGACGATTTACAATAGTGATGTATTTTATTTAATAACATATCGATAAGAAACTAACATATTTTTAGTTTCTATGTTATGGAGTCCAGTAGAGTAGGGTATCAAAATAAAGGGTCTGAAGTGACGATTTTGAAAATAAATCTTACAGAATAGAAATAAAAATAGGAATAATACCAAAACATAATAATATCAATTCTTCATACAGTAGGCGCTGTCATTTAGTTCAGTCTATGATTTGTTCCACTAAATGCACAAAACTGAAATAAGTTTTATGTTTTTTTTATTTGCACAGATTCCCTAAAAATGAAGTGCTGAGTCAGAAGTGGCTTGAAGTCATTGGAACGGAAAATATCAAACCTGGACTTAAAGCGCCACGTATTTGTACATTACACTTTGCAGTATCATCCTTCAATAGAATCCTTGATGTTATAAGGCTGCGTGATGATGCAGTACCGCCAATCCACCTTGTAGTAAGTGAAATAATTAACATTATATTGTTTTTAATTTCCCGATCAGCTTGTCGATTCGTCCAGTACTTTACTATTATTGTTGGTCAAATTTGTTGGCGCATTAGTATGGCCATCGACCATAGAGGCGGCGACGCGCGGGACGGGGTATAAAAACCCACGGCCGCGCGAGCGCCGCGCTTCTTCTTCATCGACACACGCCAGCCATAGCATTCGGGCATTTCTTTGTATCGGTGTGAGCCGGTCTTGATTCTGTTATGTAGAAATTAAACCTATTAATTGTGCAGTCTTCTGTTTTAATTTAAAATAACCCGACAGAGCTACGACAATTGGTCCTTCGAGCTATTAAGTTGCCCAGTAAAATTTTGCAAATCATTATCAACGTCATCGGTCATCGTGTGCGCGTCGAGTGAACTTTGTACCCCGCGCACCACGTCGCCGAAAGCACAAAGAAGTCGTCCCCGAAGCAGACTACGTGGTCACCGTGGAAGCCGATGTCATTCTTGGGAGTATAATACTGTATTTGAGTGAGTCGTTCCAATTAGTTACTTTCCAAATTTTCATCTTGCCAAAAAATCGTTTCCCAGCTTCCCATAACTTTCTTTAACGAGTAGCCCGTATCTCATTTCAAATAGTGCTTGTAATACTGCAGTTATTTGCTTACGTATCAATAACTCACGTATAAATATTCCATAGTTACAAAAACTAGTTTGCTAACGCGGTGCGAACACGTGTCACATCGTGAATCTCGGTACCTTTTCTTATCGCACAGCTGTTTTTGCATACATTCCTTTAACTCATTAGTACTTGTTTAACCAGTTTATATTTAATCCTATAATATTTTATCATGGCAGACAGTTTAAAGACTTTAATTAAGAAACGCAGTTCTGTAAAATCGAAGCTTACGATTTACAACAATTATTTAACATTAATTAAAAGTAGTGCCGCTATTTCACAGTTGCAGCGTCTAGATTTGGAAGAACGCTTTATTAAATTCCAAAGCTTACACGCCGACTTTGATGATTTACAGACTCAAATTGAAGTGCTTGCCGACGATGCCGAGTCTACGTTTACTGAGCGCGAGGACTTTGACCGCCAGTTCTTCAGTCTGGTGGCACTCACGCGCAGCCTGCTCGGTGCTTCGAACAACGGTGTCGGGTCGGAGGCTGGCTTCAAGGATGCTGACTCAGGTGCACATATTTCCTCACGGAATAATTTTGTTCGTTTGCCAAAAATAGAATTGCCACATTTTGATGGAAACTACCAATCCTGGCTTGAGTTTCGAGATACTTTTAGTTCATTGGTTCACGACAATGCTAGCATCAACGCCATAAACAAGTTCCACTACTTGCGAGCTTCACTCCAGAGCAAAGCGGCCTTAATAATTAAAAACATTGATTTTAAGGCCGAACATTATCAACTTGCATGGGACCTGCTATGTGAAAGGTTCAATAATAACCGTCTTCTTGTGGACAACCATTTGCGAGCTTTATTTGATGATGTGGAACCAATACTTATGGAATCAAGTGTTGGTATAAGAAATTTAGTTGATCTAATCAATAAAAATATTAGGGCACTGACAACATTAAAAAAGCCTACACAACATTGGGATTTAATTATAATTTATTTTATGGTAAAAAAATTAGATAGCATTACTCGTCGTGACTGGGAAGAAAATAGGAATACTGCTTTGAACAACGATGATCCTACTTTACAACAATTTTGTTCATTTTTAGGCAAGCGAGCCGACTGGTTGGAATCTGTTGAATCGAATAATTGTTCTTCAAAACATAATTCTATTGTAGCCTTAAACAATAGTCACATAAATAAAATTAATTCTAAAACTAATACTCAAATACAAAATAAAAAATCAAACTATAATCATAAAAACAACAAATGTCCGCTTTGCTCCCAGGCACATACTTTATACAGATGTGACTCATTTAGAAGCTTATCTATCGAGGCTCGC